ATTGGAGGTAATTCTGGCCGGTGAGTTTGTGGCTGGTGATGAGGACAGAATTATTATCTGAATTGCTGGGTAATGGAGACCTAGCCGCGGAGGGTTGGCTAGAAGTGACATCACTAGTGGAGGAGTTGCAGGCATGGTCGTACTTAGTCATTGGAGAGAAGAGGTGGCCAGCAGAATGACCAGAGATGAGGTTGTGTCAACGAGGTGCACGGCTGAAAATGGCTGTGCTCGAACACGGAAGAAGCCTCGGCGCTCAAGTGCAGACAATCACGGGAGAGGTGTCTGTGTTCGGATGCGGTCGAGGGTCGAGAGAGACGCTCGGATCGTCCTCGGACGCGGACGCGGAAAAGACGCTTGGACGCGGACGCGGAAAAGGCGCTCGGATCGTCCTCGGACGCGGACGCAGATCGGCGCTCGGATAGTCCTCGGACGTGGACGCGGATCCGAACAGGCGCTGGAACTGGCGCTTCGACTATCGGGAAAAAAACGATCGCAAGAGAGAGCAAGCGAGAGCAGCGAGACAATAGGCGCAGGAGCAGCACTGTGGAAAAAACGATCGCGGGAGAGAAGGCCGTGATCAAGCCGAACGGGAGAAGCTTTACTTCGATGACTCTTCGATGTCTTTTATACCATGTGAATTTTGAATAATACTTTTCTCACTTGAATACATAGATAATTCACCTATAAATAGGTGAGTACAAGAGAAACAAAAAGAGGAAAGAAATCTTCCTACAATAAAGTAATTCTTATAATTATGAAATAAACATAAATACCAATAATTAAGGAATTACCCTTTTTATATTATGACTTAAATATAACAAGTATTAAATAGAATTAAAGTAAATAATAATAAAGAGCGTAATTCCACAAGTAGCAACAAACATATGGTTTAAGTTGCAAAATTTATCATTTGGAGCTTAAAGAAGATGGTAGGGAAAATGATGACAAACACAATCAAGATCCCATGGTCTTATCATCTTGAGTCATTGTGGTTTTTGATCTACATAGTAAGAGGAGGTAATCGACCCAACCCGATTGAAAAATCCTTGTCAAAAATCATGTGTTGCGTCGTTCATGGACCCTTGTAGATTTGAGGTGCTAAGAGGACAAATTTAAGTTGATCTTAACTAACTTAAAGTTTTATGTTAATTAAATATACCATATAATTCACAACTCAAATAATAGAAAGCTGATTAGAAACATATGAGCTTCAGTTGTGACTGTAATATAATAATGTCATTTGGCAGCAACCACCTAGTCAAAATGCTCCGACTATAACCACTACTTCTTTGCGTAGTCTTTAGATCAAATCACACGAACAGAAGACTTATCCTTACTAGCATGAAATTTCTTTTAGTGTAAATATAGTGATACACTCGATATGACATTTATTCTTTGTAAGCTGAAATCAATCAAAAATTTGTACTCTCGACAAACTATTGTGGAAGGTGAATAGAGTTTATTTTATAGTTTGTGGTAATTTATTTTAACTTGGATATTTTGATTGTTAATTTGAGAACATCATTTGAAAGCCTGATTTAAGAAAATTGACCCCTTCAATTGAAATCTTCTATCAACTCGGTCATCATTGAAGATTTGATTATTTAATTTGAACATTGTCACTCTCTGTCCTGCTTACAAAAGATAAGGTTCGGAAGTGACGTGATTGAATCCAAAGCTTGTCAATTATTTTATGCTTATAAATGATCGAGTTTATGAATTATAATAGTTGAATTTATTTAGATATTTGCTGAAACTTGATTTTAAATCCATCCAATTGAAATTATCTATTAACTCAGTCATCATCGAGAAATTTGGACATTTAAAATATTTATGCTTAAAACACTTAAATATCTATAATAGTTATGTCTAGCTCTTATGAGGAGGATCACAATAAGCGATTTGAACTTGCAAATTTTTATATTTGTAATTTGAACATTATTTTAAAATTACTAGGTTTGTCAACTCTAATCCTTAAGAGAAGAAGGATCAAACTAGTTAGGTGGGACTTACAACCGTATTCTATAGATAAAATGACCCGATTGACTAATTATTAAAATGAAATTAATCAGAGCGAAAACTTTATTCAAACTCACATAGCATTCACAGATCCTTTAAATTTAAACATTTATTTAGTTTGTCGAGCACATGCAGGTTTCAATTTCATTAACTTGGATTATTAAAAATACTTGACATATTTTTCAAAGCATTCACATGATAAATTTGCATACTTCCTAATGCACCAACATAACTAAAAAATATTCAACTATTTGAGAAGATTGTAATGTGATTGCATGGATCCTTAGACATTGGATCTAAATTAGACATTACTTTAAAGCTCATGAATTACATTCAAAACTTTGAAAATTTAAGTAAACATTAAAATTTGGGAACACATACAAGGTTTCATTTTGAGCCTTAAAAGAGTTTTCTTATATTTGCTAACAGACATACTGCAAATCCGGTGATAAAAATCATTCAAAAACTTTGATAGTTCCTATTAATGATGTGCATGAAATCACTTTTGATTTTTTCAAAAATATCACCTTCTATTAGCTAGCAGGTGTATTGTGAATTCCATAGTGGAAAGACATATTAAGTAATTATTTTAGCATTTAAAAATGGTATTTATGTCATAAGATTTACCTCAAATTGTGATATTTCATATTCAATTCAATCTTAGTGCCCCAAATTTAAGATATTTCATATTCAAGTAAAACTTTAATAGTTTGTGTTAATGATGTGCAAGAAATCACATTTTAACTTTTTCAAAAGAACGCATTATGTTCGCTAACAGGTGTATTGCGAATCCAGTTGCGGAAAGACACATTAAGTAGTTATTTTAGCATTTAAAAATGGTATATATGTCTTAATTTTGTTTTTCCTCAATTTATAATATTTCATATTCAATTCAAACATAGAGCCCAAAATTTATGATATTTCATATTAAAGTCAAATTTAGCCCCCCAATTTATGATATTTTATATTCAATTCAAGCTTAACCCCATTTTATGATATTTTATATTTAAGTTAATTTTCAAGTTTTAATAATCAAAATTTAAGTTATTTTTGCAAGTTTAATAGTACAAATTTTAAATTATTTTGCAAATTTGATTTAGCTCAAAACTTAAAATTATCTTCAAGTCCATTTCACCCGGAATTTCAAAAATTCTCGACGTCGTCCCCGCTTAGGGAGCAGCATCAGGATGACTAGCCTGCCCAGCTATCTATAAAATGCAAATCATTGTCACGAGACACTATGACTGTAAATGGGCTCTTCTCATTCACCAGCCTATAAGACGCGTGAAAGTCTTTGATTATCCTACATGAAAATAATACAAGCACAATTTCTTTGCATTTATATCTTTGCTCGTGATGTGGCAACGATGACGGTGAAACAAGATCAGCAAACCAATAAATTACCACCCAATTCTCTCTCTCCCTTCTCTGATTTTATTCAATATAATATATACTATATAATAAATATTATATATTATATAATAATCAATTTATAGGCTCATTATAGCATAGACAAAGCCTTCAGTTTTGCATACGAAACGATGAGTATTCAACTGGAGTGGACCGTTTAAGCTATGCAAACAGTGGGGAAGAAGTGGTGGAGACGTATGCAGCTATGCTAGTGAACAGAAAAAGCAGGGAATTTTAGAGGTGTAAGTACGTTGTGATCCTGTCATTGCTTCCTGTTTGTTGTAGTCATGAGTGCATCGCGAGGGTTTCTGTCACGACCAGGAAAGGAGGCAAGAAAAAGGGAAATTTGGAGTTTTGGACTCTCTATATGAAGCTCCCATAGTTGCCTTTACCGCTAGCACTAATCACGAATCAAGATAGAGAGCAACATTTTGTGAGTGATTCGAGCCACTGGGGAGAAGTCAAGCGAGATGAATGTGTTTGGGCTTACGACAGGGAAGAATCGGAACTTTGATTTCAACATGCAAACAGGGAGAAATCATAGTGGAGTTTGGTTTGAAACAGGAATTTTGAAGATCTGTGTATGTTATGATCCCCTTTGTTTGCTTTTCCTGCTGGCTGGATCGTGAAGACATGCAATCAGAGAAGCACTGCACTGTGACATATTTTGGGTTGGACCAGAGCAGAAGAATGAAGAGTGGTCTTTGCCACTATCGTGTGAAGCGAAGCAGGGCTGGTTGTGCTTGATATCACAGGACAGGGGGGTAATTTCAAAGGCCATTGTGCACAGCCATCACTTCGTTGCCTTCCCAGCCAACCCTACTTACGATTTTATCAGAGATGACTTGCGTGAGGGCTTCAGTTGCGTGCCCCTCAAGAAGCAAAGGAGTTTGTTTATAAGTTATCAAACAGAGAAGAGCGCGAGCAGTTTTAGAAACCGAGAGGAGTACTAACGGGTTTGAACTTTTATTTATTTCATTTTTTTTTCTTTCCTCTTTTTTAACAGCCAAAATTTACAGAACTGTAATATTATGCCTGAATCTCTTATTTTAAGTTCCTCATAGCCTGAATCTTTTATTTTATGAAAGGGTCCAATATCAAGAGCCAAAAGATATCTACAGTTTCAGAAAATGCAGCCATATTGACCTACATATTCAGCTTAAAAAGCTCTCCTTTTGAGATAGTTCTTAGGGTTGTACTTGTTTTTATATAGGATGTTGCAATGGCAATTCTACCTACCAAACTAGTTGATCTTCTAACTTTTGTCGTTCAAAGTTTCTAAATATTGTTTTGGAAGTATTGATTGGTGTTTTTTGCAAAACGATTTATTGCTCTATCACTTTTGTTGTAGCAACTTAGGAAAGAACAACGCTGAAATACTAGTTTTTGGCAGTGAATCTCTAAGAATTCAGAATCTAGAAATAGCACTATTTTCTACCAAAAGTTAGTAACGCAAAAAGAAAGAACAATCACAATCAAATGCAACCACTACTCTCCAATCAAAGCTACCACTCTTCACCCAAACTCAACTAAGGAAAAAACCATATTTTACTCACATTAAAAACACCAACCTTTACAATTGCTCAGATTGAGAACTCGCAGCAAAGGGAAGCTGGCAGCAACAACAGAGAGATCCGAATCTGTTACCCCAGGAAAAAACGAGCGGAACGCTGACTGGGACATGTCGAGTTCAACGATACCGGAAAATCGGTTAGCCATCCGCCGGAGCATGGCCGGACCAGCTCTAGTCCGGAGGCGTCGGCGCTCCGTATTCTGGATTCGAAGCCAGCGCGTACAGACGAGGCCGAACGCGTCCCTCTCCTCCTCGCTCTCCAGCTTGGAGAGCACCACACGGAGGACATCGTCCGTGAGAACAGCGTTGATGCCACAACTGGTATCCTCTCGATCCGCGCTCTCCCGCTTCGCCATTTTAGGTGGAACCAATGCTGCGAGAGATCGCTGCGTAAATTAGGAACTAGGGATTGGATAGGCGATTGGGCCTTTCTAGTAGAGAACGTAACACCTCCGCCCGTATCGGCGGCAAGGGAATCTTCACTTCGCGGGTGGGGCTTTTGCATATGAACCCCCTGAAACATTACTATTTACAAATTCATTATCTAATGGATTTTTTGAACTACAGAACTATGTTATACTCATCGATGTGTCGAACAAATTATTGAGAATTTTATTAAAAAAATATTGAAATTCATTATTTTATTTTAGCTTCATACAGTTAATCCAAATTTTCTTCTTATAAGTTGTAACTGTACAAGGCTACATCAGAACGAGAAATACATGTTCTTCCAACTCAAAGTCGAATGCTACTCTTCATTCGCCAAAAAGTCTTGTAGCCTATCCAGTTGCCTCATTGCCTCGATCATATTGTTGTAGAACATAACTATTTTTTTCTCACTAATACTGACGACATTGAACACGAAGTGATGTTCATAATTCTGGCCCTAATATATTTTGCTTCGTTTGCTCTCCATTAATCTTCTTAGTGATGGTATGCAGAGGTTGTTGACGGCCCATAAACTATCCATTTTCAACAAACATCAAACAAACAACAAGTTTTGATGTTTGTTCATAATTTAAATCCAACTAATTACTAAATTTTGGTTGTTCATAAGCATACTTTTTGAACCAAATTAAATTTCATTTCATTGGGTTCTATTTTATCGAAAATTTTGATTGACTTAGTTTTTTAAATTTTGGATTTTGCCTTCAAATGGTTTGATCAATTTGAAAATTGCTCCATCCAAACCAATTGAATGAATGCTCATTTCTATGTCTTCCAATTGCATTAGGGTCTATTTTGAGCAGAGTTGGGGGTGTAAACGAGCCGAGCTTGAACGAGCCCAAGCTTTGTTCGTGTTCAGCTCATTATATAATATCGTGTTTGGCTCGTTTATATATTGAGCTCAAAAAATTTTGTTCATGTTCAACTCATTTGCTTAAGGAGTTGTTCATGAATAACGAGTCATTTTGATAATCTTATTCATGCAATCTTAGGATGTTAGAGGTAAAGGTGATATTTAAATCTTATTGTTTAAATTAAGATATTTATTTAAATATAATTTAGTTTATATTTACTTTATTTTTAATTAATAATTATAAATGATTATAAATCTTTGTTGCCCGGTAGTCCAATAAATTATATATATATATATATTCGTAGTCCAGTACCCTCAGAGGAAGTCGAATCCATGTTGCCTCCTTGAAAGAGATATGTCCCAATCCACTAGACGATGGGGAACTGTCATCATACTATGACAATAGTATGAGTAGTGTTTTTGGAATTGTCAATATATCTACTTAGAATCAAATGTATTATTAGATATGGGGAAGCTTTCCTATTTTTATGTTATGATCACATGTCCTACAAAATTATATATAAAACAAACAAAACTTGTTTGTGTCGGATCCTATATATATCGAGCGTAAAGAATTTGTTCGCGTTCGACCCATCTGCTTAGCGAACAAATTAAGCATGAGCTCCTTAACAAACTAAACATGAGCTGTTCGTGAACAACGAGTCTTTTTGACAGCCCTAAGCGGAGTAGTTTATTTTTAGGCACATTTACTTGCATAACAATTAAATTTTATGTATTTACATATCTAAACAGTTAACTTTCATATTGACATACACAATGCTCAATTTTTAGTTAAAACATCAGAAATATCACCAATATTAACATTTTAAAATTGAGATGCACTTTTTCTTTTATAGATTTATGACATCAAAATGTTAGATATGCAAATACATGGGAATTATGTGGTGTGTATGAAAATTTCCTTCTTAATAAATCTTCTTGATATCCAACACCTAAAAATTAATATTTACACTTATAACCCTTTGGTCCTAAAACCAATGCATGAAAATAATACATATCATTTTCAACGTAAGATTAAAGAGTTGAGCGTTAAGTTTATAAATATGACTCTAGGTGTCAGATATATAAATACATAGAATTATGTTTTATGTACGTAAATGCCTCTATAGTTCTAAAAAGTAATGTGGGAGCTAACACTTAATGCTTAGTCATAAATTTTGCTAGCTTGGATTTATATTTTATTTATAAAATTGTTTAATATGTTGCTAGAATTTTTATATTATCAGTTTATGTAAATATTTTAAAATTGTAGAGTTGATATGCCAGCAACAAATATTTATCATTCAACACGGATCTCGAAATATAACACGGATTTCGAGATGATATTTTGAACAAGAAAAGTTTAATTCTTGATAAAAACTCATCCAGAGCCCCGATTTCAGCAAACTTATAGTCAAACTGACCAGCTCAATGAGATGAACCTAATGATATCAAAGTTAGTCCAATCCGAGTCAAATTAAGCCCAGATCAAGTCATTGAACCACAATTAGAAGATTTCTGGACATATTTGGAACGTCAAACGGTTGTCAAATATGTCAAGTTTATGCTCGAATTGAGCGCTTCAACAAGACAAATCCAACAAAACCAAGATCACTCAATTCTGATATCATTAAGACACTCAAATGTTCATTAAACGTCTTATGATCGAGTGAAGCTCTTCGGACTTCGACAAGACAAATCCAACAAAACCAAGATCACTCAATTCTGATATCATTAAGACACTCAAATGTTCATAAGTGAAGCTCTTCGGATTGTCCGCTCTCCAGACCATCCTAACACTATAAATAGAGCATCATCCCTCTCATTAAAGAGTGTGGACAGCTTGGGAGAGAACTTGAGGTTTTGAGAATGAGCTGAAGTCCAGCATCACCGCCGACCGTCTTCGAACAGCGCCGACCATCGTCGACCGTCTTTGATCGCCGCCGACCATCACTGACCGCCGTCGACAATCACTGATCATCATCAACCACCGGTGACCAAACGCCATCAGTCAACATCCTAACATGGAAAATCTAATAACCCTCTCCCGTCTGTGGGACAAGAGCTCACCTCTACTGTCCATGTGCCAACTATGACCTACGTGCTCATCAGCTCATGCAGCTCCCTACTCCGGTCTCAACGATCTATGGATGTCACCACTGCTCACCACTACGGTTCATATGGCAACAACAACCTACATGATCATCAGCTCATGTAGTTCCCGACTTCGACCCCAGTGGCCTACGGACATCATCAATATTCGCCTTAATGGCCTACGTGGTCATCAGCTCATGCAGCTCCCGACTCTGGCCTCTATGGCCTACGGATGTCATTAATACTGGTCAACTACAGTCTATATGATTCACAATTCCTGAAACTGCTTACTATGGCTTCTTTGGCTAATTAACACTTCTGGAGCAACCATCTACAACACTCATGACGGATTACTACCTCCACAACAATCAGCAATGATCCTTGCAACATGTTGTCACCAAGAACTGCAGTCATATTATAGTTATACGACTTTGTAATTTTGTCTCCCCTAATTTAGGGGAAGTGTGGACATGTGTACTCATCATTCATAGTGAATTATTTCAACTGGGCTAGGCCCCGTGATTTTTCCCTCTTTTAAGGGTTTTCCACGTAAAAAGTCAAGGTGTCTCCTCATGCTTACTTCTCTTTTTTTTATTTGTTTGTGTTGAATTCTCGTATAACGCTAAGATGATAATTTATTACTCTACCGCAGCGAATTTTCTCGCACGCATCAGTTTGGCGTCGTTTGTGGGAAACGGAGCACCATTCGACACTGTTTAGCTCTGAGACATTGAATCCCTACCTCATTTCCCGATGATATAGATCATCCAATTGGCAAAGGAATCTTCTTTGCATCTTTAAGTTCATCTCCAAAGCATTCTTCAATGAGGGGGGCAACCTTTACTACAATCTCGAAAGTTCGTTCACATCAACGTCTCGGGTACGACTGTAGTGTGGTTGTTTTCTCACATCTTATTCAGACACAAAGTATGTCACAACTTCTTTCAGACTGGGGGCAACCTTCATTGCAGTCTTGAAATGTCGTTCATGTTAACGTCTAGGCACGACTGTGATGGTGATGTCATCCCATATTTCATTCAGATTACAAGTCTATGAGAATCGCTTCTAAAATGGGGAGCAACCTTCACCAAAAATAACGCTTCCTCAGCGCCCCTCATTGTATTGGAGTTCCTCTTCAACCATATATGGAAGCTGTTCTCTTCAATGCTCCATACATAGGTTGGTTTACAAGAAAAATACCCTCGCTAAGAAGCAAAAGATTCAAAAGCAACAACTGACAAGTTGTCAAACATTTTTCTTGAGTATGACTGCAACCATATTTCCCAAAAAACATACGGTCCATTGCAAACTACACCCAGTCTTGAGAAATGCAGAGCATCTCTGACACCTCATTCTGGGATTAATTGATCCCAGGGGGACTCGATTCGACCTCTTCCGTTATAGGCTACAGTCGTCAAGTAAAGGCTTTGACGAAGAACCTCAAATATGTCAAAAATCTTTGGTGGAATTCCTTCAACCTCTTCTATAACAGGTTACGGTCATCAAGCAAAAGCTTCGACTAACAACCTAGGATAGATCAATCATCCTAAGTGAATTTCATATGACTTTGTTCATTACAAGTTAATATCGTTGAGCATACCGGTTATACAACTCAGAACTGACCTTACATCTTTAATGGATTTTTTCTTTCAACCATACCCCTGGAAGTTGATCTCAGGAGACAAGACTCGATGGGAAACTACAATGCTCTAAGAAGTCAAGCCTCAAAAGAAACAGATACATCAGAGACATTAGAAGACTACGAGCCTCAGTAGGTACCAGTTCAAGCTCCTATAAGACATAGCTTCGAGATAGCACAACCTCGAAAGGCATGAACCATAAAAGGTATGTGATTCTTCATGTTATAAAATTTCTGTGCCAACTTAAATTACAAATTTTCATACGATTGAGAAGCCACAACAACCTCAGAAACAAACAACAAAAATTGTTTCAAAATTATCACAAAAAAGATATTCGGGGCAAATAACCAACCAAATCAAATAACTATATCTGTGTAGTGTGAACAACGTAGCAATAACAAAT